TGGTCTGGTCAGGGTAAGACATGGAATTGGATGGCCTTGATCCACTTGTGTTTTTTACTACGTACCTTCACAACCACTTCCGCACTGAAGTTTGACAATTTTGCAAGCTGCTTCCAGCAACTGCTATGGTTGACATCATCTACAGACCCACTGTGCTGTATCTATCAAATGAATGTTCTTGTCTGCCCAAGGCTTCAGCCATCATAGTGGCTGAGTGCCAAAGAAACTGAAGACAGGCAATCTGTATATGCTTGGTTTTTTTTCCTCCCACTCCCTTTGCAACAGTTCCTTCTCCCATCCCAGAGAGGGCAGGATCTAAATTCACAGCTTGATACGGATGACAATGAATTTCTTGTTTCCAAGACAGAAAAGTTCACGTGAAAATAAGGAATTACCACTCAGCTTTGGAGAACCACAGCAATTTTTTAAAAAATGCTCTTTTGGTTCAGGAAGCTCATTTCTGGTTTTGGTTTCAACATATCCCAAAGGCCAGGGTGATTGAAACCTTCAACTAAAGCAAATCTGGTTGTGTGTCAAGCACACATTTCTAATTTCTGTGCTGCATTCTTCATCTGTATTGGAAGTGCTACAGCAGAGATGATTCAGTTTGTAACCAAAGGGTTAACTTTGTCCTCAGTCTTAGTCAACTACCCAAGGGTGTATGTGTGGTGCTGCTGCTTAGCAGCCAGTTGGAGTGGATGGTAGAACATGCTCTGATTGGCTGAGGAGCTTGGAGTGAGTTTTTCCTCTGCATGTTTGGTTGGATGTTTCCCTTGTTTGTTGTACAAAGACTGAAATAAGAAAGACAGAAACCTCTCTCTTCCTTCCACCTCAAATTATCCTGTTTATGTTCAGTTGCTTCAGTTAATTTATATTAGGATTCTTTTCTCTGGACTCAGATGGCATTATTTAAAAGACTTTGTTAACACTTTGCACTCAAATATTTGGCAGGGGTTTCAAGGATTGTCCAATTCAACTTAGTCTCCGAGAATGCTGGGAATTCTTAGATTAATCCAGATATCCCCAACCTTCGGCCCTCCAGATATTTTGGACTACAATTCCCATCATCCCTGACCACTGGTCCTGTTAGCTAGGGATCATGGGAGTTGTAGCCCAAAACATCTGGAGGGTCGCAGCTTGGGGATGCCTGGATTAATCCCATTCCTCACAGAAGCAGTGTAGTAGAGGATATCATTTTCCTGGACAACCTGTTCCATCATCCAGCTTATTTCCCAATTAGAAAATCTTTTTTGGCTAATCAATCAAAATGTGATCTTGCTTCTTCCACTGCACAGGCAACATTTCTTATAATTTATCACAAATGAAATAGATTTTCCCACAGCATTCTTGAAGCTGCATAATAAGCACCGTAATCTGTCACCATTTTTGTTTCTTCAATGATTCTCATGGATTTGTCTTTTGTTTCCCCAGATGAACGATATTATTTTGGAATGTGAATTCCCTAGAAAGCACATAGCTTTCGTTGTGTTATTTCCCTCATGGCTTTATTTGCGCATTAAATTCCTATCAAGCCCTTCCTCTCAAAGGAGCCGAGGGTGGCAAACAAGTGATAAAAATAAGAATAGATTTAAAACAATTCCAGTACAGATGCAGACTGAGAAAGCGTTCAGCTTAGAAAGCTTGGTGAAGGAGGAAAGTCTTCAGCAGGCATCAGAAAAAAATGACAGATGGAGCCTGTTCAATATTTGAGGAGAGTGTATTCCAAAAGGCATGTGCCACAACACCAAAGGGCTAATTCCAACACTGTGTAGAACAGGCCACCTGAAAGAAAGAAAGAAAGAAAGAAAGAAAGAAAGAAAGAAAGAAAGAAAGAAAGAAAAAAGAAGAAGCAGCAGAAGCAGAAGAAGAAGAGGAGGAGGAGGAGTTTGGATTTGATATCCCGCTTTATCACTACCCGAAGGAGTCTCAAAGCAGCTAACATTCTCCTTCCCCTTCCTCCCCCACAACAAACACTCTGTGAAGTGAGTGAGGCTGAGAGACTTCAGAGAAGTGTGACTAGCCCAAGGTCACCCAGCAGCTGCAAGTGGAGGAGCGGAGACACGAACCCGGTTCCCCAGATTACGAGTCTACCGCTCTTAACCACTACACCACACTGGCTCTCATCTGACCCTCATCTGCAAAGCACAGTGATCAGTCTGGTATATAAAGTGTGGGACAATCTTTCTAGCATCCTGGTTCCAAGCTGTCTAGGGCTTTATATCCCGAAATCAGCACCTTGAAGAATGGTAGCTAATTTTCAGCCAGTTGCTCCCTAGCATGATGTGAATGACATATTGAAAGGGAACGCAGATGGTGCTGTGGTCTAAACCACTGAGCCTCTTGGGCTTGCTGATCAGAAGGTCGGCGGTTCGAATCCCCACCACGGAGTTAGCTCCCGTTGCTCTGTCTCAGCTCCTGCCAACCTAGCAGTTCAAAAGCATGCTGGTGCAAGTAGATAAATAAGTACCACTGCGTCGGGAAGGTAAACGGCATTTCCGTGCACTCTGGTTTCTGTCATGGTGTTCTGTTGCACCAGAAGTGGTTTAGTCATGCTGGACACAAGACCCGGAAAGCTGTCTGTGGACAAATGCTGGCTCCTTCGGCCTGAAAGCTAGAAGAGCGCCGCAACCCCATAGTCACCTTTGACTGGACTTAACCATCCAGGGGTCCATTACCTCTATTTTTATTATTATTTAAACTTCATACCCTGCTGAAGTCAAGAACAGAACTTTAGACTTCAATCAGTAATATACATTCCAAGGGACAATCAAAGACAGCACATGGTGGAGAGTCTACAGATGTTGGACAATAATGAGGATGCACATGGTCATGGTACAAGGAGCACGAATGCTGTACAGAGAGCACAATAAGGGTGCCTTGACGTTTGCATAGATTTGGAAGCTGAAGCAATCCTCACTGGTACACCAAAGAAGAGCAGATAACACACAAATGAAAACACTTTTGAAAAGCATAAAGCCCTACTGCCATGAACGGCCATGGAACTGCATGTGTGTGGCCCATCTCATTCTAAACCACTAGCACCACAACTCATGCAATATCCTTTTCCTGGCAAGCAACCCATAGCGGCTGCTGTCCATTGGGACTGATAGGGCCGAAGGCTGGGAGGCCAACAGAAGGTGGCACTAGAGCCAACGGCAGGCAGAGCCAACGAGTTCTCATTTTGCTTTATCCCCGCCGAGTTCCTGAATGGCAACCCTGAGATTATGGAGGAGGGTGTTGAGAGCAAGGGTCACCCTCCCCCCAGGCCAGAGGTCATGAAGAAAGCAGACAGGTGTGGGCTGGCCAAGAGTAGACTGAGCTTTTTGGGACAGTGCCCCATTTGCCCTCAAGGACCAACTCCCCAAACAAGCGACAGTGAAGATAAAACCTACACTCCTTTTGTGGCAGCAAATTGGCTTTTCACGAGAGTTCCAAAGGAATTAGTTTTGTGTTTATATTACAGTCTTTCTGGATGGAGCATGACATTCCTTCAACTAGCTTACACTCTTCCTTCAAATAGCTTACTATTTATTATTATTATTATTTAATCTAAATATGTGTGTATCTGATACACCAGTGGCCAAAAGTTTGGAGTCCATTTCGGAAAAGTGTATTTCCGAGTTTGATGGCTCATAAGACCTGATTGGCTCTCTAAACACTTATACTCATTGGCTACATTCAAATGAAGGAAAGCTACTGCGTATCAACCTAAGCAAGTTGTGCTTCCTTTTTCTGGTTATTTGGCTATAACTTTTCACAGAATACAGATAACTGAACAAACTTTGTTGCTTTACATTCTTCATTAAATTATCCTTCCATTGATATATTGTATTACTCAAAAAAGAAAAGAAAAAAGGTGCTGTTATGAGCCATCAGATGAAGCTACAAGAAGTATTTGTGGTTCTTGAGTTATTTAATTCCCTGCTTCCATTTAACTGCCACAAAAAAATTATACATAAAAATGTAGCCTGGGCTTTTTGGAAATTGTGCCGCGGATTCTGCTGGTTAAAGAGGCCTGGATGGGATGCAAATTGCTGGTATTAGAAAGGCTAATAGGCCAGCTGTCAATTTTAGACCAGTGATTCATAGAGGAATCCAACTGTTCTCATTAATGTCCTGAATTTCTACAACGCAGCATTAATCATTACTCTTGCAGATACTTTTCCACCATCTGGGAATAAAGTCAGATGGCAGCCTGGAAGCTGGGATCTGCTGGACTTCTCCCTGAGTGTTCTCTCAGCCCAAAGAATGTGTGCTTTCACACAAACACACAGGCAACTTTTACATTTCACTACTGAGGTTAACTGCATCACTTTGCAGTTTCTTCCATTCTGAGAACATCCCTTCGCTCACCTGTCCAGACTTGGCTGGGGAATCAGTGATGTCCCAGATTCCCTGCTCCATTAAAATGTGACTATAGGCTTTTCAGGAGCGTTGGGCTATTGGCAAACATCTTCGGATTTAGCCCGGCCTTCACAAACTTGGTTCTCTCCAGGTGTTTGTCCTTTTTACCCATCGTTGTCTTTTTAATTGTATATACTGCTTGTTATACTGCTTGTTTTATGTTGCTATGGCCGTTGGCTAATGCAAATAAAGTCAGTCTATCTATCTATCTATCTATCTATCTATCTATCTATCTATCTATCACCAGCCTGGTTCCCTCCAGATGTTTTGGACTACAACTCAGCCCCTGCCAGCATGGCTCTGGTGGGAGCTGTAGTCGAAAACATCTGGAGAACATCAGGTAGACAAAAGTCGATTTAGCCACTTTTCTGTATGCCTGTGGTGAGTAAAAATGCTACAAAGCATGACAGAGGGAGGCAGGACACAAGTGAAACAAGAGGAAGAGTTTGGATTTGATATCCCGCTTTATCACTACCCGAAGGAGTCTCAAAGCGGCTAACATTCTCCTTTCCCTTCCTCCCCAACAAACACTCTGTGAGGTGAGTGGGGCTGAGAGACTTCAAAGAAGTGTGACTAGCCCAAGGTCACCCAGCAGTTGCATGTGGAGGAGCGGAGACGCGAACCCAGTTCACCATATTACGAGTCCACCACTCTTAACCACTACACCACACTGGCCAGTGAAACAACCCCAGTTTGTTGTTGTCCCTGTATTGATTGCCCTGGCTGAGGAAACATCGGAGCGCTCTGGCTGCTGTCTTTACATTCCTGGTTTTGGAGGAGGGAATAGCAGCAAAAAATAGTGGTTATTCACTACAGACTATTGGATAACTAGCTAAATAATACAAACATATTAAGGCTCTTCCAAAGAACATTGGGTGCACATACATACATACTGGGGTAAATCATGGTTTGTTTTTTCCTGGCTATTTGTTCTTTCCTTTCCTTGATAAACAGGAACTTTTCCCAACTTCATTTTTTAGAGTTGAGTGGACATGGATCAAAACTAGGGACTCAGCTGTATAGCTGCAAATAAAACGTTTTGTGTGTGTTTTAAGTGCAATATACAATTGACACTAGGTGTGATGGTGAGCTTTATGGAAAATTCCATGTATTTTTAAAAACTTTTTTTAAAGCACTTTCAGAACGGTTTTTCTATGTGTGTAGATTCCACCTAGGAATCGCCCAGATCACTTTCCTGTATTATATCTGTATTGCTTTAATGTTATCCCACCCACGACATGCCCACAAAAAAATATGGGAAAACCTACATACCCCTGTTAGCACCAGGACATTCTTCTCATGGGAAAATTCTGCAGACTTGCACAAATTCTACAGCTGCCCTAGATTTAAGAAGTATCACCAACACTGCTCAGTACAATGGATATTTATAGCACCTGGAAATATTTGGTTTCAAGTTTCTGTAGCAGGATAGAGTCTATTTTTTAAGCAAGAAGATGGTTTCAGATCTGGATGACTGGGAGAGGGTAATAAAAAGTCAACTGCAATGCAGTAGGGTAGCTGGACTCCCACTTTCCTGAAATGTTCATTAATCTTCCAACTTGTTGCTAAAAAATAAATAAATGAAAACAAATCCATTCCCAAATGCAAGACAGAGTGGTCCTCTTGGTTGAATACTTCAAGCATGCCCTGTACTGAAATTACATAACTAAAGAACAAAGCGAAACTTCCATCACAGTTCAGGATAACATGATTCTTGCCCTCTTCGGAACTGGATCCTTTCCTTCCTGGACATCCTTGCAGGAATTCCACACTGATTAATGCAAAATAGCACCCTGTTGTAACAAACGGGCTTTCTCCATAAAGTTCCTCTTAAAGGGCATCATAAAGTCATCGAAGTCCACCTCATAACTAAAACGCTGCCGGCGCATCTCTCTCTTCCTTAGAAGGTCTTGGGTCGTCGCTTCTGGACTCCAAGTCTTGAAAGAGAAAAGGATCCCATAATTAAGATTCAGCACGTAAGGGTTATCCTTATATACATTTCTTAACGGAAGGAAGAAAGCATGGTTGATATATTTTATAACCACCCCCTCCCATGCCCCCGCCATGCTGAATTTAGGATTGAAAGAAGTCTTCTTTTGTAGCCTATGGAATAGGTTTCTGGTGTGTTCTTGATCATAGTGTGTTTATGGTACCCAGAAATATTGGCAACCTCCAGTTACTATCTCGCTTATTCTCAAGTTTTGTATTTTCCAGGCAGCTTTCTTCTCCAAAGGATATTTTCAGAGGTTTCCCCACCCCTAAAAAAATGTTTATGGGTACTCTTGTTTTCCTATTCATATTGAAATACTGCCCCTCAATGAGGCCAAACTTAGATTCACAAAATGTTTAGGGGTATGCGTACCCCTGCGTCCCCCCAGAAAAAAAGCATTGGATATTTTGTTTTGCAAACTGAGCCCCTCCTCAGTACTGCTGGGCTCTGGAATAAAGTTAGCAACATCTAGCTGTAAAGGATTCAGAATTATGGAGCGGAAGTACTCCAGCATAGCTGAAGCATCACATACAATCCTGTCCCCTACAACTCCCAATAGGGGAAATATTCAAGAACAGAATTTCTTTGTGATCATTTCCTCCCCCTCAGATGAGTGGAACACTAAGAAATAAGCCATTCTACCACATTCTTCCCCAGAGACCCACTCGGGTGTTAAGATCAGCAGAGGGAGCTGGTCTTATTTTGCAGACATACTTACCCTCTGTGGTGTGAAAGTGATATTAACTTTCCTTGTGGCTCCTCTGGTTATCAGTGAATTCAGATGGACGACATTATCCTTGAGGGATTCTTTCTTCTCCTCGAAGAGAGATTTCTCAGCGACTGTTTCCGACGACCGTAGAACCTTAAACACAGAACATCATCAGTTGCACAAGTGTTTGTGTGTGTCGTAAATGTCTCACGCAATTAGCCGGAAGAGGCCTTTTTGCAACCCAAGTTTCTCGTTATGTGTCAAAATCCAAAAGCAGGGGGCTGTCGCAGTAGGTATGGGGGTCATGGAGGCTGCTCCCCCATTGCAATGTGAGCACTGATAATAACAATAACAAGAACAAGAACAACAAGAACAAGAACAACAACAACAACAACAACAACAACAACAACAACAACAACAATAATAATTTATTATTTATACTCCACCCATCTGGCTGGGCTTCCCAAGCCACTCTGGGCGGCTTCCAAAAGAATATTAAAATACCATAATACATTAAACATTAAAAGCTTCCCTAAAGGGGGCTGCCTTCAGATGTCTTCTAAAAGTCTGGTAGTTGTTGTTCTCTTTGACATCTCTTTGACATGTAAAAGCACCAGGCAGGCCCCACAAATAACCCAGAGATGCATTTTAAATAAAAGCACACATTCTACTCATGTAAAAACACGCTGATTCCCAGACCGTCTGTGGGCTGGATTGAGAAGGCAATTGGGCCGGATCTGGCCCCTGGGCCTTAAGTTGCCTACCCCTGTAGTAAAGATTTCTTAGTTTACAAAACTATGTGCATTGTCTCTTTTTTCAAGTTGTGCTTTCTACAGATCAGTTTCATTTGTTGTGAGACATTAGTGTTACATACAATGTTAGGTTAGGAAGAAAAGGGGGTTGAGGGGGAGGTGTGGGGTGGGGTGGGGTCAGGTGGCAATGCTTCTATGCTTCTACTTAGTGTACGTGTGGGGTTTTGTGTCAGCGTCACTTGTGTGGGTTCTCTTACTATTCGCTAGTTGTGTTTCCTTGGTGGTGAGAAAGCTTGGGGGTGGTCTAGGGTGTGGGTGGTTGTCTTTGATTGGCTGTAGTGAGATTTGTTTTTGTGTGTGAGTGGGGTGTGTGTGTGTGTGTGCATTTTTTGATCAGTTTAGCCAGATTGATTTGTATGTTGTTGGCGGATTCGTGTCGTTGTCTTGTTGGGCTGTGTATGTGATAAAGGGGAGCTATACCAGGCCGAAGGCATCTTCTTCTATTTGTCCCTGTGTAAGCTTCAGTTTATGGGTTAGTTTTTCTAATAAGGCTGTTTCCCACACTATTTGATACCATTGGTCCATCCATGCTTACTCCAGACAAGTCTCTCCAGTGTCTGGCTATGATGCTTCTGGCTACCATGCAAGCTGTTGAGGTCTTCTGCTCCCATCACCCCCTGGCCAAGCTGCCTGGGGATGACAAGACTTGAGTCCAGCAACATCTGGAGAACCCACCATTGAAGAAATCTCTTGTGCAGAACCATGGCATTGCCTTACCTCCTCTTTCACAGACTCTTTTGACGCAGGATCTGGCATCTTTGCCTTGGGAGTGGCAGGCGTTGCTGGAGTGGTTGGGGCTCCAGAGGCTGCTGAGGCTGCTTTGGCTGGTGCCTTTGGCTTGGCCCCCTTTTTCCCTTTCTGCTTGTCCCCTTTGCTGTCCGGTGGCTTCGGCATGCGGTCCAGCGTGTCTTGAATGTAGTGGACCAGCCGGGTGTCAGCATAAGCTTTTGCAACTTCCAGAGCGTTTTGTCCTGTTTGAAAAAAGAAGGTGGCTCAGTATGTGAGGGCAGTGGTGTTCTTCTGCCTGATGCCAGAGTGATTCCATGTCACCAAGAATACAGGGACAGAGTGGGATGGGAGCCCAGAGTATTTGGGTGGTAAAGATGCTATTGAGATACAACTAACCTGGGTGCATAAAGTTCAGCCTACCTCTTTCTTTCTTTCTTTCTTTCTTTCTTTCTTTCTTTCTTTCTTTCTTTCTTTCTTTCTTTTTATTGATTGACATTATATACCACCCTATACCCAGGGGTCTCAGAGCAGTTTACACAGGCTTCCTCAACCTCGGCCCTTCAGATGTTTTGAGACTACAATTCCCATCATCCCTGACCACTGGTCCTGCTAACTAGGGATCATGGGCGTTGTAGGCCAAAAACATCTGGAGGGCTGAGGTCGAGGAGGCCTGAGTTTACAGAATAAATTCAAGACATAAAACCACAAAATACATAATAGAAATAAAAACAACAACCCAATAGCCCCCTCCCCAAAAAACCCACACACACAAGGGCGTAGGATATAATCAGATCAACCAAAGGTCAGGTTAAAAAGAAATGTTTTTGCCTGGTGTCTAAAGGTGCATCATGAGGGTGCCAGACAAACTTCCCTAGGGAGAGCATTCCATAGACAGGGAGCCCCATGGACTGCAAGAAGATCAAACCTATCCATTCTGAAGGAAATCAGCCCTGAATGCTCACTGGAAGGACAGAACTTGCAGCTGAGGCTCCAATACTTTGGCCACCTCATGAGAAGAGAAGACTCCCTGGAAAAGACCCTGATGTTGGGAAAGACTGAGGGCACAAGGAGAAGGGGACGACAGAGGACGAGATGGTTGGACAGTGTTCTCAAAGCTACCAGCATGAGTTTGACCAAACTGCGGGAGGCAGTGGAAGACAGGAGTGCCTGGCGTGTTCTGGTCCATGGGGGTCACGAAGAGTCGGACACAACTAAATGACTAAACAAAAAAGCAACATAAGCTGGAAAGAGTAATTTTAAAAAAAAAAAGAAAAAGAAATTGTAAAGGAGCAATGATTCAATTTCCAGTCTAGGTCAGGAGTTAGGAGTTATTGATAAAACACCATAGCTAATTTAAACATTGCATTGGCCGTCAATTAGCAGTAATGCAAAGGTTTTACCTTTTCTGTTTGTCAGCTGAGGCTTCGCACCAGCGTTGACCAAATGATGCACCGTGTCCAGTCGGCAGCTCTCAAGGCCTCTCATCAATGGGGTTCCATAGTTGATTGAAATAGCATCTACTGTTGCTCCGGAATTAATGAGCAGTTCAGCAATATCCTGCTGGCCTGCATGGCATGCATGGTGGAGAGCAGTCCACATGAAATTGTCTGTGGCGTTCACATTAGCCCTGCAGACAAAGAATGATTGTTCTCTAGATTAGAAATATACTGTTTTGTCACATAGGGACACATGAGGAATTTTATTTCAATGAATTCCAATGAGAAGGGACCTGATTTGTGTTAGGATCCATCCTACTCTCGTGTAGGACCCTGGCAGAGACACATGCTCGACTGGCATATTCTCTCCCTCCTGGTCGATCGTTCAGGAGCTTCAAAAGCTTTCTTCTGCCCGAACATCATAGAGACCGATGCCAACAGACATCAGCACACTTAGGGATCCACAGAGTTTGTGCAGCTTGTGTAACAGACCTCAGCAACTCAGCATTTTGGCTAATCTACTTTATTTATATATAAACACACACGGAGCACTGCAACATGGCTCCCTCTCTCTCTAGCGTCAGACAGCAAAGAGAAACAACAAAGGACAATAGTCCCACTTCACGGAACACAGTAACACAAACATCTTGTCTCCGTCACTTCCCATTCTGTGGAATGAAAACATACACCGCCATGTGATAGACAACAATCCCATGATGGCAGACAAGGAGAATGAATCTCCAATAATTTGCACACACCAATGCCGGTTTCTGTTACAACTACTGCAGTGCCTGATTGACATGTAAGCTAACAAGCTATAGCTTAGGGCCCCACTCTCTTGGGCCCCCCCAAAAAAAATTAAAGGAAAAAGCCATACCTGGATGTACATTTCCAAAATATAAGATAAAAACCAAATAAAACAAAACCTATATACAGCAAAAGTGTTTTGTGGTCTGTAGGCTCCTATGATGTAAGTAATGAGTCCATAAATTACCATATAGCATACCGTATTTTTTGCTCTATAAGACTCACTTTTTCCCTCCTAAAAAGTAAGGGGAAATGTGTGTGCGTCTTATGGAGTGAATGCAGGTTGCGCAGCTATCCCAGAAGCCAGAACAGCAAGAGGGATTGCTGCTTTCACTGCGAAGCAAGCCCTCTTGCTGTTCTGGCTTCTGAGATTCAGAATATTTTTTTTCTTGTTTTCCTCCTCCAAAAACTAGGTGCGTCTTGTGGTCTGGTGTGTCTTATAGAGTGAAAAATACGGTATATTCAACACAAAAAAACAGAGACAGTTTGTTCCTGTCAAAAGACAGCTGGACATATAAAGGGCCCCATTACCTTCAGGAGCTTAGGGGCTCATCAAACCTAAATCCGGCCCTGACCAACTGCCATTATTCATCACCACAATGATGGTACACAATTGTCTGGGACTGGGTAGAGGAGGAATGGTGAAGCCCACCTCCCCAGCCTGACCCTTCAAAGAAGAAGACCATTCAGAATTACAACAGGGGTTTGAGGGAGGTCACAGCTGACAGTTGGCTGATACATTATCACTAGAAAGCATTCCAGTCCCACCATCTCCCAGAACCCAGCGAGTCTTAAAAATAGGAGAGCAAAGGGCCCTCAGCGCGAACCGTAGAAGGGATGATGATTGAGGAAGTGGGAGAGAAGCGGAGATTTACTCGGAGCAACACCATTATTCCGAGAGGCCACATTTCTAAGCCTCTCTCTGTGAATATTGAATAAAAGCAGATGATAAGGATTTTCCCTTGCCTTGTCCATTCCTGGCAACCAGCCATGGGGGTTGGTTCCTCTGCTGCCTGACAACAGTTGATGCAACACCTTTCTTTAAGCCAATCTCTAAGCGGTTTGCCAACAAGGTCAAAGCATCCACATACAGACAGTACATTTAAAGTACATGAGTTCCCTGGAAGAACCTTGGAAACTGTAATTTACTCCCCCCAGAGCTACAATTCCAAGCACCCCATAACAAACTACCTTTCCCAGGATTCTTTGGAGAAGTCACATGCTTTAAATGTGCTTCAAAGTATATGTAAAGGTAAAGGTAAAGGGGCCCCTGACCATTAGGTCCAGTAGTGGCCGACTCTGGGGTTGCGGTGCTCATCTCGCTCTATTGGCCGAGGGAGCTGGCATACAGCTTCCGGGTCATGTGGCCAGCATGACTATGCCACTTCTGGTGAACCAGAGCAGCAGATGGAAACACCGTTTACCTTCCTGCTGGAGTGGTACCTATTTATCTACTTGCCCTTTGACATGCTTTCAAACTGCTAGGTTGGCAGGAGCAGGGACTGAGCAATGGGAGCTCACCCCATCGCGGAGATTCAAACCACCGACCTTCTGATCAGCAACCCCTAGGCTCTGTGGTTTAACCCACAGCACCACCCATGTCCCTCAAGGTATATGTACACAGTCATATACTGCCTTTCCTCCAAGGGGCTAAGGCTATCATGCATTGCATTCTCCCCCACCCCAATTCACTCTTGCAACAAATCTGAGAGTTAGGTTAGTTAGGCTTAGAGATGGTGACTGACCTAAGGTCACCAGATGAGTTCCATGGCTGAAGAAGGATCTGGCTGTGGATCTCCTCAGTCCTGGTCCATTGCTCCCACCATGGTTGGAAACGTAGCTCCTCCAGTCAAACATACAATCTTCCATGACAACTTGCCTAGGCTGTCACATCACAATGGTCACTTGTGCTGGACATAGCCATTTGTCTTCAACTCATGGGTGAGGACACACTACTACTGGCCTGCAGCCTGAACTAAGGTGGGAGACAACCACACCTCTACCACAAAGAACACACAAAGAAATGGGTCTCCAAATGCATCTTTGGGTTGAAGGAAGGATATGAAAAAGTTGACTACTGTTCTAGCCCGTCCCTTTGGGTGCAGCCTTCTGTTACTTCCTTCACAACCATCTTGTGAAGTCGGATAGGGTAAGACTTGGTGGCCTGTCCAAAGCTACTCACTACTTCTTGGTAGTGGCGCCCGCCCTGTGGAACGCCGTCCCTTCAGATGTGAAGGAAATAAGCAGCTATTTTATCTTTAAAAGACATTTGAAGGCAGCCCTGTTTAGGGAAGTTTTTCATATTTAGTGCTGTATTGTTTTTAACACTCGATTGGAAGCTGCCCAGAGTGGCTGGGGAAACTCAGCCAGATGGGCAGGGTATAAATAAATTATTATTATTATTATTATTATTATTATTATTATTATTATTATTATTATCACCCACTGTCAGGATGCTGTCAGCAGCTCCTGGCTGGTTGCCCAGGAAAGTATCAAGACAAGGAAAAGTTTCTTACCCTCCCTTTTCATTTCAATATTACAAAGAGAGGCTATAGAACCCAGCCTCTTGGATAAAGGCCTTGTCCCAAGTGAATCTCCACCCTCCGTTTCTCCCACTTCCTCATTCAACACTTCTACAGGTGCTGCTATGTGCCCTCTGTCTTTGAGCTCTTCACTCTTCTACTTTTAAGGCCCGCCGGATTCTGGGACATGGAGGGTCTGGAATGCTTTCTAATGACACCATGTTGGTCAGCTGCACAGGGCATGGACACACCCCTCATAAATTGGGAAATGTATCATCACTGAAGCAGTCAAGTACAACATTTTCCTGATGCCTAGAGCGGACACCTAGGGGAATGTGGCTCCAGACAGGGAGGACTTCCTGCCATACCTGCTCTGGAGCCTCCTGCCCTTGTGTATGACCAGGTAGATGTGCATGAGCTTAGCAGACCCTGTGAAAGGGCTAGCCACACAGCCATCTTCCCTTTTTCTCTTTTCAGACTTCTCTCTTGGACCTCCTCTCCTGGCTCTTAGCCAACACATGGGTCATCCTTACAGAGTGGAAGCCACAAGGCAGAAAGTCTGAGGTGTAGCTCAGACTTCTTTTCTGTACAAATGTAACTGTAACCCCAAGATCAAACCTGCCTTCAGATTACTGCTGTGAACTGAATGTAAGTAAAACTTTACTCTTACTTTTAAAGAAGACTGTCTTGTGTTATTATTTTAAGAGAGAAATAAAAGGAGGCACTTACCAGGAACAAGCCAGACTGGATTGCTTAAGTTAAATGATTCTAACGAATCCATCAACTTGCTTCCAACTATCTACAAGGGAATGTGCTCTCCTGCTTGCTCACTGGCGTGAGTGAGGAAGGATAATGTTTCATCAATACATCCTCTCCTACCTTCCTCAACATTCCCACATAAATCCCACATTACTTGTGTCTACAGGGTTGCCTCCTATGCCCACCAGCCCAGTAAGCCATCAGAGGAAGTAAACCCACCCCCTTTCCAGGAGAAACTTCACCACTTCGATGTTCCCACTTGCGCAAGCAGCCATCAAAGGAGTTTTGTAGAAATGGTCTCGTATGTCCACTGATACCCCTGCCTCAAAGGCTTTCTTCATGGACGAAAGGTCTCCGTCTTTAGCGAGGTAGTTGATGTGGGCGAAAGTCTTCAACGGGTCATCAATGTACCACCAGGAATCATCTTGGATGGGGTGCTCAGGAGGGTGGTCCCGATTGAACCGGTTGCAGTCCGTCACATTCTTATAAGTTTCGATCATGTACTCAGGCGGCCCGCCATTTTCCCGCCGTGGGTACGCACTCTCCGGAATGACGCAGATTGGCATAGGGGCGACAAACTTGGCTTTCCTGCCTCTCGCTTTCTTGGGCTTCTTCTTCTTGGGACCATAAGATGTAAGGAGGAAGGCTTTCTGCAAGAACCGGTTGCCCTTAAGAAACTCCTCGAACTTAATTCCTCCTGCTCGTGTTTTCTCATGAGCCTGAGCAATTGTCATTAATTGTTCAGCCTCCACAAATGGACACCTCTCTTCGATGATGGACACAAAATCTTCCTTGTTCACGGCCCCGTCCCCTCGATCTGCGATCTCAAATGCTTCGCGGAGACTTGCCTGGTGTTCTACGGTCCAGTCATGTAGCCTAACAGCCCAGGGCGGGTTGGGGTTCTTCACCCCAGGCTTGGGCTTGGAATATTTGGCATAGCGCCGCTCAATCTTACGAATCTCCTTACTTGCTGCTTTGAATCCACCGTCTTTAGCCACCTGCCTCGGTGTCTTTTTCTCTAGGTTCCTCCATGTAGGGTCAGTGCCTAAAAGGCAAAAGTGTAAGTTCCAATGAAGACAGCTCCAAAATCTTAGAAAATGAGTCAAAAGAAAGTCTCAACACCTGGGGATCATAAAAACCGTGGTTGACTCGTTCATTTCATGGCTCTCAAGATTCTTACAGAATAGAGGTGGCTAACCCTTTCTGGCCTGAGGGCCACATCCATCCTTGATCAACCCTTGGGGGGGGGCCACATGCAGTTGGTGGATATGGCCAAAGGTGGGTGTGGCCACCCCACATTCTTTCACACACTCCCTTGCTTGGACACAAGCACCACACACCAGCACACAACCTGCTCACCTCTGCAGATGTGTGAACAATCCGCAGGCCACCCCAGAAATTTAATGTCCATATCATAAATTAAAGCATTCCCAATATATTTGATATTATTTAATATACACAGTTAATGTATTTGATTAAATACATATTGTGTATTTAACAGATTCAATACATGCAACCAGTAAACCAATTTCATACGCAAACAGACGTGGGCGCTTTTTCTAACAACAAGATTTCACACAAAAAATTCTTAAGGCTTTAAGATGTCATTTTCCTGAATGTTGCTGAAGGCCGCCAAACAAGGCATTGAGGGCCACAGCTGTGGGTTAGACCACCCTGATGCAGTATATTACAGGCACCGAAACAAGATTGCTCCATTCCTGCTTCAGTGCAGTGGATTCTTGTTCACTGAATCAGGTGAATGAGCCCCTCAGTTTATCCCGGGGTTGGGAGGAATGTTTCATTCTCAGACAACCATCCTTTACCTCTTTGACCTATAAATCTGCAACACTCTGCATAACCCCCAGCAGCAGCGTAATGCAGCGGCGTGTTTCCATTCATGGCTATCAAACCCACATCTCCATTGTAGGCGGAAATAAGCTTCAGGATCTGCGAAGCAAAGTCAACAGCATTAAACCAAGACAGACATACTTTAACCAAATGTACTGTACCTGTTTTCTTCTCAGCAAAATTGCAGCAAATGGATGCCATTTAAACAGTCTGAAAAGCTGTAGCTATGTAAGCTGGGGCACCAGAGAAAGGCCTAATTCAGGGGTCAGCAAACTTTTTCAGCATGGGTCTGGTCCACTGTCCCTCAGACCTTGTGGGGGGTGGACTATATTTTTTGGGGGGGAAATGAAAGAATTCCTATGCCCCACAAATAACCCAGAGATGCATTTTAAATAAAAGGACACGTTCTACTCATGTAAAAACACACTGATTCCTGGACTGTCCACAGGCCTGGATTTAGAAGGCGATTGGGCCGGATCTGGCCCCCAGGCCTTAGTTTGCCTACCCATGGCCTAATTAATACTTGTAATGGCGAGAGGGCAAAATTCCTGCACAGAAATAAGGCAAGGGCTGGAAGACCTGCAGCCTTTCAAAATTTGTGAGGACTACAAAACCCATATTTCCTGACTACTGCACCATGCTCACTGGGGCTGATGGGAGTTGGAGTCCAGCAACGTCTGGAGCATAGCTGTCAATGTTTCCCTTTTTTAAAAGGGAAATTCCCTTATTCCAATAGGATTCCTCGCAAGAAAAGGGAAAGTTGTCAGCTATGGTCTGGAGAGCCAAAGGTCACCCACCTGTGCTTTAAAATAAGCCTTTTCTCCTTCTGACAAGGGCCAGACTCCATATCACGTGAAATGTGTCTCTGCATTTGTGTGGGTGTTTCAAAACAGTGCCCAATTTAGAGCAGCGAAGTTGGCTTCCCTGCACAGGGCGCCAAGCTGAGGGGGTTCCAAATTGAGAAGATCCATCACTGAGAAGATTCCTTTGGGGGTGCTAAATTCTGGCCTCGCTCAGAGCGCCGTGCTACCAAAGATGGCCAAAGCCCACCGCTATCCCATACGAGCCCTGTGTGGGGAGCCGTGATCCACAACAGAATTGAGGCACAGGCAGAGGGGAGTTTAATCCTCCTCCCATCATTGCTGCAGTGACTTCCAACATAAATCCCTTCTCCCAGATGAAATTGGCAATTGCCTTGAGACAGAAGTTGCTATTGTGCAGCTTCACCTCTTGGGCAAATAGTAAATTTGAGGGTGGGCTCCATTTTTTTATGGTATGGCACAAACCCACTCCCAATCTAGATTGGGCCCTTTGCAGCTGCCATTTTTAAAAAACCACACAAAGACATATTGAATATAAAATGTAGTATTACCCAAAGGGATGAGGGTGGCGCTGTGGGTTAAACCACAGAGCCTAGGACTTGCCGATCAGAAGGTTGGCGGTTCAAATCCCCGCGACGGGGTGAGCTCCCGTTGCTTCGGTCCCTGCTCCTGCCAAAGTAGCAGTTTCGAAAGCACGTCAAAGTGCAAGTAGATAAATAGGTACCACTCCAGTGGGAAGGTAAACGGCGTTTCCGTGCGCTGCTCTGGTTCGCCAGAAGCAGCTTAGTCATGCTGGCCACATGACCTGGAAGCTGTACGCTGGCTCCCTCGGCCAATAAAGCGAGATGAGCGCCGCAACCCCAGAGTCGGTCACGACTGAACCTAATGGTCAGGGGTCCCTTTACCTTTATTACCCAAAGGGATCATCGTTCTGACTCTTTAACTAGCTATCTGCAACTTTCAAAACCATCCTCACGACTCCTCACTGCTCTCCAGATCTTCAAGATTCTCCCTCCCTGAAGGAGGTAGAGGCTGAGTGGTGCTGGACAGCACTGCCTCTGCCTTCAGGACAATGACCCTCAGGCTGTGCAGGGGAGTAGGGAAAACCCCAAGTTATCACAGCACACAAAAAAGGTAAAGGACCCCTGGATGGTTAAGTGCAGTCAAAGGTGACTATGGGGTTGTGGTGCTCATCTCGCTTTCAGGCCAAGGAAGCTGGCGTTTGTCCACAGACAGCTTTCTGGGTCATGACTAAACTGCTTCTGGCACAACGGAACACTGTGACGGAAACCAGAGTGCACGGAAACACCTTTTACCTTCCCGCTGCAGTGATACCTATTTATCTACTTGCACTGGCGTGCTTTCAAACTGCTAGGTTGGCAGGATTTGGGACAGAGCAACGGGAGCTCACCCTGTTGTGGGGATTCGAACCACTGACCTTCTGATCAGCAAGCCCAAGAGGCTCAGCGGTTTAGACCACAGCGCCACCCGCATCCCTCTCGCCATAGCACACGATTATAGTAACTCCATGTTTCTTTCTATTCAGGTCAAGCTAAACATTCTGAAAAGTGTGCTTTGAGAAAAAGCAAAATTGGATTTTCTGGGATCCCCTCTGTTAGCCAAATCTGATTATTAGTAATTAACTGAGAGAGTTCCTTGGGCTGGGTACCTTTGTTTCTGACACCACCAACAAAGAATACCTCAAAAAACCCTCCTTTGGCAGCAAAATGTGCGGCATGGTGTCTTTCATTGTCAAAAACATTAACATTTCCACCTCTCTCAAGAATACCGCGGACCACATCCAAAACCCCTTCTCTGGCTGCTTCCATCAGGGCTGTGCGGCCGGTCGCCTGCAGATCAGACAAAGGGAGGAAGAGAGGGACAGGAGAGAGAGAGAGACAGAGAGAGAGAGAGAGAGAGAGAGAGAGAAATTAACACATATTTGCTCATTTACTATATTGCAAAAAGTGGGGGGGGGGGACACAGAGGAAATGTCTTATTCTATAAAGAATGGAAGCCATGAACAGGGGTTAGGGCTGCTAAGTAGTTCCTTGCTGTCCTCTCCTCTACCTGAGAAAAAAGGGGACTGTGTGTACAATGGGAGCCATTGTTCTTCAGGTACAAAGCAGGCCTCTCTGAAAAAGATCACAATCCTAGCAGAAAGCGTGAGATATTTCTGTGGCCTGCTCTCTATCTTGAATTTACATGTGTATTAGTGTGTCTTGATAATGCCGGGAGGAGCGATAGATGAATCTGACATTTCTCCGCTTTTCTCATTTCCCCAATCATCTCCAAATGTCCACATCAGTTTGCAATTTTTTAATATCCATACATAAAAAGGCTTCCTGGAAATTCAGTATTTTAGTGTGAATTTATTTTTATGTGCTTCCTTACCATGCTACATTGTTTTTAACACTCGATTGGAAGCCACCCAGAGTGGCTGGGGAAACTCAGCCAGATGGGCGGGGTATAATAAATAAATAAATAAAGCCATCTGCAGTTTTTCAAATTATAGCGGTACCTCGGTTCTTGAACGTAATCCATTCCGGAAGACTGTCCCGAGTTCCGAAACGTTCGGAAACCGAGGCACAAAGGGCTGGCTGCAAATGCAATTGCGAATATTGAAAAAATCGAGCGACAATTTTTCAATCAAAAAATTGAAAAAGTCGAACGACTTCCGAGGTACATTTGATAATGGAAGCATTTATTTCCAGATTTTCGGTGTCCGGGTTCTGAAATGTTCGACAACAGAGACATTCGAGAACCGAGGTACCACTGTGTGTGTGTGTGTGTGTGTGTGTGTGTGTGATCTGCTGCCTGGTTGCTCAGGATAATAAATATTCTTAAAACATTTTTATGGTTGATAAATTTAACCAATTAGCCACTGCAGCCCTAATTATTAGTATGCTTATGCCTGTCGGCATTCCACTCCCCACTCTTAGAATGGCTAAGAACATTCTTACTGGGTTTGTTGCATTAGGGTCTGCTCCTCTCTCCAAAAATGTCATGCACATGTCTCTGATCTCATGCGCCTGCTCACAGGCTTGTACGAAAACTGGCTTCCCCTCAAAAGTGCAGTTGTTAACATCCGCCCCATATTCCAGGACCATCTGAACACAGCGGAAGTGGCGTTTGGTGGGCAGAATGCAGTAAAACAGAACACCTGTGTGAAGAATAGTTGCAGAGTGGCTTAACAGGGAAACAGCTGTGATCCTGAAAAGAGAGACCAACCACTAAATGCCAAGGAGTAAAATAATCTGCTTATTGCCTTTGAGTACTGCCCATATAACTAAGTGCTCGGGGAGGGTTGCAGAGGCATTAAAATATGCCAATACAGTGCTGCCCCGCAAGACGTATGCCTCACAAGACGAAAAACCCGCTAGACGAAAGGGTTTTCCATTTTTTGATGCGCTTTGCAAGATGAATTTCCCTATGGGCTTGCTTCGCAAGACGAAAACGTCTTGTGAGTCTTGCGATTTTTTTCGCTTTCCCCCCCTTTTTCTAAGCCGCTAAGCCGCTAATAGCCTTTTAGCCGCTAAGCCGCTAAGCCTTTAATAGCCGCTAATCCGCTAAACCGCTAATAGCGCTAATCCGCTAAGCCGCTAATAGGGTTGCTTCACAAGACGAAAAAACCGCTAGACGAAGAGACTCGCGGAACGGATTATTTTCGTCTTGCGAGGCACCACTGTACAATCCAAACCAAAATAAACACTCAAACCGATTAGTTAAAATCACACCACCAAAATATACATTCCTAAAACCAGCATAAGCACATCAGTTGAAACAATGAGGAAACCAATACGAAACTAGCAAAGGGGGGGGGGAATGGAGCAAAGAACTAATGTACCAGATATTTGCGGTGCTTTTTTTCTGGGGGGATGGGACGCAGAGGTACGCATACCCCGCAACATTTTGTGAACCTAAGTTTGGCCTCATTGAGGGGCAGTATTTCAATATGAGTAGGAAAATGAGAGTATCCCTAAACATTTTTTTAAAGAAAAAAAACACTGGATATTTGTACCCATGGTAATTACTATGAAGGCTAGGGAAATCAAAACGATCTTCAGCAGGTATCTAAAGACCATAATGTGGGTGTCAGGTGAACATCTTTGGGAATGACATTCTAGTTATTTTATTATTCATTGATTGAATTTATAGACCGCCCTTTGTCTGTAGATATCAGGAATGGTTCACAACCTAATTCTATCAACCGGTGGTGGATGGGTGTCACTACTGATAAGGCTCTTTTCCTTTTTTTTCCCAAAAAAAAAAAAAAAGATTTTTCTTAAATTTTCTGTTTTACAGTTTCAAATAAACACTTTACATCCTTCAGATATCAATGACTCCCCTTCCTTTCTTTCCATGGTTCATTTTACATATCTTATATCCTTGCATGTTTTAGAAAAAAACTATACTAATCAGTTTTCCATTATTACATCCATCAAAATTTACTGACACTTTTGAATTTATCTTAATGCTGCCAGCATTTTCAGCTGTACACATTTCCCATATATTCAATAAACATTTTCCAATCTTCTCTAAATTTATGTGCTTCTTGTTCTCTTATTCTATGTGTTAAGTCTGCAAGTTGTGCATATTCCTGTCAACCTATGTTGTCAATCTTCTTTGGTTGGGACCTTACTCATTTTCCATTTTGGGGCTAACAAAACACAAGCCGCAGTTGTCGCATACATAAATAACTTTTTCTGACACCTGGGATTTTCAGTCTGAATTATCCCCAGCAGAAAGGACTCTGGTTCTTTTTAGAAAGTAATGCAAGTTTCTTTTCCCAGCAGACACCTGACTCACTTCATTAGCTAAGGGAACCTGGGAAAGGAACTCAGATGAAGATTTCAGGGCCTGGGCAAGTATGCATGGGAAGAGATCATCCTTCAAGTAACCTGGCCCCAAGCTGTTTACTTTTTCAGCAGGGGGCCGGTCCACTGTCCCTCAGACCTTGTGGGGGGGCCGGACTATATTTTGGAAAAATAATAATGAACGAATTCCTATGTCCCACAAATAACCCAGAGATGCATTGTAAATAAAAGCACACATTCTACTCATGGAAAAACACACTGTTTCCCAGACCATCTGCAGGCTGGATTTAGAAGGTGATTGGACCAGATCCGGCCCCTGGGCCTTAGTTTGCCTACCCATGGTTTAGAGCTTTAATTTATTTATTTTTCTAAAAATTGTATTAGTTTTCACAATATTATAAACAAACAAACAAACAAACAAACACACAAGACAAACAAACATAAATCATAGCCTTATTGAAAATTACAGTTATTAACTTTGTTAAGTGACTTCCTCGCTTCCCCTTGGTTGAATTTCATTGCATTTCCTTTTAACGGTTTTCCAAATCCCAATTTTTATGAAATTTAACTTAAACATTAACATCCTTAGATCTTCACCGTATGGTGAACATATTAATTCATCACTTAACATAAATAAGATCCTAAGCCCATTAAGTATCTGCAAGCTATTTTCAGTTAGTTTAACTTAACAAATTTAACTAAATAATCATGGTTTAGAGCTTTAAAGGTGAAAGCCAGCACTTTGAAATGTGCCCCAATGTGGATTGAACTTCTTGAGCTACAAGAGAAATGCCCCACCTCCCTTGCCAACACCTGGCTCTCATTACCTTTTCCTTCAACATCAACGATGGTCATGTCTGCCTCGGCCTGGACTAATACATCCAAGGCCAAGTCATGGCCCAGCTCAGCAGCTTTCATCGCGGGGGTGCGGCCCATCCGATCCTGGACATCCGGATGAGCTCCAAGCTCCAAGAGAAAGTTGCACATGTCAATGTCGTTGGCAACACAGGCCAAGTGAAGAGCAGCCTCCCATCGACTGGCTCGGTGAAATTGATGAGTTCCGGGTAGCCGAGTTTGGTGAGCTTCTCAATCTGCTTCTTGTCCTTCTGGCGAACGCACTGGAGAACTTTGTAGATCTGTAGGTTTTCGAGCCTTTTGTCAGCCAACATTCTCAGTCAACCGAAGGAAGGATATTCTCATAGAGGTGGTTCTCTGGACAGAAGGAGGAAATGGGAGAAAATGAGTCTCCTTTGTAATGGAATTCTACGATGTACCCCATTTGTGCTGTGGCGGTTAAGCATATCTGTTAAAGGATGCGACTGTGCATAATAATAATAATAATAATAATAATAATAATAATAATAATAATATATTATTTATACCCCACCCATCCCACTGGGTTTCCCCAGTCACTCTGAGCAGCTCCCAACAGATTAAAAACAGAATAAAACATCAACCATTAAAAACTTCCCTAAACAGGGCTGCCTTCAGATGTCTTCTAAAAATCAGGTAGCTGTTTATTTCCTTGACATCTGATGGGAGGGTGTTCCACAGGGCGGGTGCCACCACCGAGAAGGCCCTTTGCCTGTGGCGCATGACACAGTAAAGCATGCAACACTACTGTAGCCAGTGGAAGCTGGTCCATTAAAATGAATGGGATATTGCCCCACCAACTTCAGTTTCCCTTCAGCCGGTTCCCACCAGCCTATCTTCTTACAGCTGGTGGCATTGCCTGTCAGCTTCCTCCTCCTTAGTCTACACACACACTTAAATTTTCTGTTTTACGATTTAAAAAACTCATTTAAACATCCTTAAAATATCAATGACTTTCCTTCTTCTCTTTCCATGGTTCATTTGGCATATCATAAATCCCTGCATATTTTACAAAACTATACCATTCAGCACTGGCGGAGGAAGAGGGGGGCGGGGGGAGCGCACCACCCCCGGCAGCACGATCCCGGTGGGGTGCCATCACGGCTGCCCCCCGCCTGCGCTGGGTGCCACACCTCTGGGATGCACGCTACGCCCCTGCGGGCAGCATGCCACGCCCCTGGGATGCACACCAAGCCCCCAGGACGTGTGCCAGCCCATGCCCCCACCTGCTCCCCACTCCCCCGGTGCCGGAGCATGAAGCTCCGCCACTGCCATTCAGTATTCCATTATTACATCCATCAAATCTTGTTTACACTACTGACTCCATCTTAATGCTGCCAACATTTTCAAGTGTACCCAATATCCCATGTGTTCAATAAACGTTTTCCAGACTTCTCTAAACGTATGTTCTTCTTGTTCTCTTATTCTATATGTTAAGTCTGCAAGCTGTGCATATTCTGTCAGCTTAAGTTGCCATTCTTCTTTGGTTGGGGCCTTGCTCGTTTTCCATCTTTGGGCTAACAAAAGACAGGCCGCAGCAGTGGCTTACATAAATAACCTTCTCCTTAGTCTTAATGTAGAACTCCAAACAGGCAGGAGGATGGAGACAAAAGTAGAATTAGTTGGCTCTTTCTGTCATTGGCTGTGGCTCTGTGGACTGTTGATGTCCCTACCTTCCACTCAACCCAAAGGGCGCCAGTCACCACCGGCCACCACACTTATGTTTGCAGTTAGTTGTCCTTTGCTACTGCTGTTTGCCATTGCTGTTTGCAACTCATAAATATTCCTGATGATGCAACAGTGCATCATAGCAACAATGCCATAAGTCAAAGATGGACTGGCACATTAGCCTTCACTTGAATCTGTTTTAAAATTCTAGTTTCTAGGAGGGCGTCAACTGAGCCTCAAGAATAAACCCTCAACCTCTTGGCAAATACGGGTGCTGTGATGTTTGCACACATTGCCAGAAGCCTCCTTGTGAAACCTGAGGGTCAGAGGTGCACAACAACAAACCCAAAGAACGACAAACAAAGCAAGTTCACACATGCATGTGACATCCAACCTGGATGGATTTAAAAGAGGATTAGACATGGAGGACAAGGCTATTGATGGCTGGTGCCCATTGAGGCTGGTAGGAAAGGAGGCATGTTATAGGCAGAACCAGAGCCAACAGCAGACCGAGTCAACAAATGCTAGGTTTGTCCCCATCCTCCTCTCTGCTGACTTCTACAACGACAAAGCTAAGCCTAAGAAGGAGGAAGACAACAGCCAGGAATAACCCCTGTAAGTAAGAAGGTAGGTGGATGGGGGCTGGTTAATGGCAGACTAAAGTTGGGTCCTTCTTGTAGGCATCTCAGAGGCATCTGATTGGCCACTGCTACAACAGGATGCAGGACTAGATGGACCTTTCATCTGATTCAGCAGGCTCTTCTTATGTTATCCAAGATGGCATGGAAGCACTAAGGCTTGAAAGCCTTGAGGCCAAACCTACAGGCAGAGCTTTTGTGACACACCAGGTATCACCTTCTGTTCAGACCTGGGGGCTCTGCACTGGAAACATGCCTTCAATTTCTCAAAAGTTTCCTTCCCCTTCCATTTTGCTGTCTCATTCACAAGGTGCTTCAGAATTCCCCTAAGTCTGGGTGGGTGTAGAGTTGAGATTACCTACAATGGTGCAGTGATTATGAAATGCATATTGTCCCCAATTTCCATTGAACATTTCCCCAGCATTCTGCAGCTTATCCAGCTGCCTACATTTCCTATCCCCCCCCTAAAAAGCCCCATGGGAAAGGAACAACCTCATGGAATTCCCCCCATAACTTTAAATGAAGTGCATCTGGGGGACTGCCTACCAAGCATCTGAAACTGGTGTGCCCACTTTTGCTTTTAAAGGAAGTCTATATAATAATAATAATAATAATAATAATAATAATAATAATAATTTATTATTTATACCCCGCCCATCTGGCTGGGCCTCCCCAGCCACTCTGGGCGGCTTCCATAAAAACCAAAAATACAATAAAATCACACGTTAAAAACTTCCCTGAACAGGGCTGCCTTAAGATGTCTTCTGAATGTCAGGTAGTTGTTTATCGCTTTGACATCTGCTGGAAGGGCGTTCCACAGGGCGGGCGCCACTACCGAGAAGGCCCTCTGCCTGGTTCCCTGTAGCTTTGCTTCTCGCAATGAGGGAACTGCCAGAAGGCCCTCGGCGCTGGACCTCAGCGTCCGGGCAGAATGATGGGGGTGGAGACGCTCCTTCAGGTATACTGGACCGACGCCGTTTAGGGCTTTAAAGGTCAGCACCAACACTTTGAATTGTGCTCGGAAACGTACTGGGAGCCAATGTAGGTCTTTCAAGACCGGTGTTATATGGTCTCGACGGCCGCCCCCAGTCACCAGTCTAGCTGCCGCATTCTGGATTAGTTGTAGTTTCCGAGTCACCTTCAAAGGTAGCCCCACGTAGAGTGCATTGCAGTAGTCCAAGCGGGAGATAACCAGAGCATGCACCACTCTGGCGAGACAGTCCGCAGGCAGATAGGGTCTCAGCCTACGTACCAGATGGAGCTGGTAAACAGCTGCCCTGGACACAGATTTGACCTGTGCCTCCATGGACAGCTGTGAGTCCAAAATGACTCCCAGGCTGCGCACCTGGTCCTTCAGGGGCACAGTTACCCCATTCAGGACCAGGGAATCCTCCACACCTACCTGCCTCCTGTCCCCCAAAAACAGTACTTCTGTCTTGTCAGGATTCAACCTCAATCTGTTAGCCGCCATCCATCCTCCAACCGCCTCCAGACACTCACGCAGGACCTTCACCGCCTTCACTGGTTCTGATTTAAAAGAGAGGTAGAGCTGGGTATCATCTGCATACTGATGAACACCCAGCCCAAACCTCCTGATGATCTCTCCCAGCGGCTGCATGTAAATGTTGAAAAGCATGGGGGAGAGGACAGAACCCTGAGGCACCCCACAAGTGAGAGCCCAGGGGTCTGAACACTCATCCCCCACCACCACTTTCTGAACACGGCCCAGGAGGAAGGAGCGGAACCACTGTATAACAGTGCCCCCAGCTCCCAGCCCCCCAAGACGGTCCAGAAGGATGCTATGGTCGATGGTATCAAACGCTGCTGAGAGATCCAGCAGAACTAGGAAACAGCTCTCACCTTTGTCCCTAGCCCGCCGGAGATCATCAACCAGTGCGACCAAGGCAGTTTCAGTCCCATGATGAGGCCTGAATCCCGACTGGAAGGGATCCAAATGGTCCGCTTCTTCCAGGCGTGCCTGGAGTTGTTCTGCAACCGCTCGCTCAATCACCTTGCCCAGGAATGGAAGATTTGAGACTGGGCGATAATTGGCCATCGTGGCCGCATCTAAAGATGGTTTTTTAAGAAGCGGTTTAATAACCGCCTCTTTCAGCGGGTCTGGGAAGGCTCCCTCACGGAGGGAAGCATTCACCACCCCACGAAGCCCATCGCCCAGTCCTTCCCGGCTAGCTTTTATAAGCCAGGAAGGGCAAGGATCCAGGAGACAGGTGGTTGGTTTCACTCGTCCAAGCAGCCTGTCCACATCCTCGGAGGTAACAGATTGGAATTGATCCCACTCAACTTGACTAGACAGAACTCTAGCACTCTCCCGCCCCGGCCTTGCTCCCACGGTGGAGTCTACTTCTTCCCGAATCTGAGCGATTTTATCTGCAAAAAACTTTGCAAAATCATTGCAGGAGAACATGTGGCCCGTACTGGGCCCCGATGTTGCAGGTGGTTCCGCTAAATTGTGAACCACCTGAAAAAGTCTCCTGCTGCTGTTTTCTGCAGATGCAATAGAGGCGGTGAAGAAATTCTTCTTCGCCGTCGCTATCGCCACTTGGTAGGCTCGATGTTGAGCTCTAACCTGTGTCCGGTCAGATTCGGAATGAGTTATCCGCCACCGGCGCTCTAGCCGTCTCAACGATTGTTTCATTGCCCTCAGATCCGTGGAAAACCACGGAGCTGTCCGGGCTCCATGCAATCGGAGAGGGCACTTCGGAGCCAAACAGTCAATAGCCCTGGTTAACTCCACATTCCAGCGTGCCACCAGGGAATCGGCTGAAAGGCCATCAACATGGGATAAAGCATCCCCTACCACTCTCTGGAAACCATTTGGATCCATTAAGTGGCGGGGGTGGACCATCCGAATTGGTCCCACCTCCCTGCAGAGGGGATGGGTCGCAGAGAAGTCCAGTTGCACCAGGAAGTGATCTGACCATGGCACTTCTTTCGTTTCGCTTTTACTTAGTGTCAGATCACCAACATCCATAGAGGTAAACACCAGGTCCAAGGCATGTCCACGGCTATGGGTTGGGCCAGACTTATTCAGGGACAGCCCCATGGAGGCCATGCTTTCCACAAAGTCCCGAGCGGCCCCTTGTGAGGTCGTGTCGGCATGGATGTTAAAATCCCCTAGGACAACCAAGCTAGGTGTCTCCAGGAGGACATCCGCCACGACCTGAAGCAGCTCGGACAGGGAATCCTTGGTGCAGCGGGGAGGTCGGTACACCAAAAGGAATCCTGTACTGCCCCTATTGCCCAACTTCCAGAACATGCACTCAGAAAACTGGGTCTTCCCAATAGGACGCCTGGTGCAAATTAATGACTTCCTAAAAATCACTGCAACCCCCCCTCCCCGCCCACATGACCTGGGTTGCTGTGCGTAAGAGAAACCTGGTGGACAAGCAGCGGCAAGGACAGGCCCATCTGCTTCATCCAACCAAGTCTCTGTTACACATGCCAGGTCAAGTCCTCCATCCATGATCACATCATGGATGGCAGTGGTCTTATGAATCATTGACCTGGCATTGCACAGCAGCACCTTCAGGTCATGTGGGTATCCCTTGCTGATTCTAGTATCCATCCGGTCAGGACCAGACCCGGAGGCAGGAATAGTCCTCAGACAACGACTAAACCTGCCCCCTCTGTAATGACATGGTCTAGTCCTAGCGTAACTCCTCCTCCTACCCGTGATCACTGAGATCAGTTGTCCCAGTGCATCCCCCCCTGTGGAACATGCCCCAGCCATTTTGTGGGCTGGGGCCCACTCCCTGGCAGCCCTGACCCCTCCCCCTAAGAACAAAATAACACCTTAAACAAACAAAAAAACCAATAAAACAATACAAATAAAAGAATGTAAAAATTACAAAAACATCAAAATAATAAAAAATAATAATTCCCCAAACCCAACCACACATCCATCCCACCCCCACCCCCCATATACAAAAAAGCCAAAGAATTTTTTTTTAAAAAACATTTTAAAAACACTCTGTGCCCCTCCGGCAATAACAACTGTCCTAGTGAGGCCTGTCAGGCCCCGCCCTGGGCCAGGTGGTAAGTGGCAGGAAGGAGCAGGGCCCTGAGGCACTCACTCAGGGGAGTCCTCCTGGGCAGCAGGCCGCAAGCAGCACGCAGTCCTTATGAGGCTTCAGGCCCCGCCCCAGGCCAGGTGGTAAGTGGCAAGAGCAGGGCCCTCAGGCACTCACTCAGGGGAGTCCTCCTGGGCAGCAGGCAGCAAGCAGCACCACACAGTCCTTATGAGGCTTCAGGCCCCGCCCCAGGCCAGGTGGTAAGTGGCAGGAAGGAGCAGGGCCCTGAGGCACTCACTCAGGGGAGTCCTCCTGGGCAGCAGGCCGCAAGCAGCACGCAGTCCTTATGAGGCTTCAGGCCCCGCCCCAGGCCAGGTGGTAAGTGGCAAGAGCAGGGCCCTCAAGCACTCACTCAGGGGAGTCCTCCTGGGCAGCAGGCCGCAAGCAGCACGCAGTCCTTATGAGGCTTCAGGCCCCGCCCCAGGCCAGATGGTAAGTGGCAAGAGCAGGGCCCTCAAGCACTCACTCAGGGGAGTCCTCCTGGGCAGCCTTTACATGGAAAAGGCCTCATTAAAAAAAAAAAAGCAACAAACAGCTGTCAGGTACATATTAGGCAGTTCTTTTACACACAAACACACCCCAGCTTTTTGTGATTTACAGGAAAGCCTGGTCAGAGTCGTCATTGAGTTTTCAGGAAGGACAGAGCACCTGGGAAGGCTGCCGGCAGATGGTTTGAAGAAAGGACACTTACAAACACCCTCAGTCACTCTGAATGTATGGTGGGAGCAACCAAACTTCTCCCACACACCTGGGTCGGGCTTTGGTGATATGGAGCCCTGAGCTAGGTCATAATTTAGTGCCCCCTGCCCTCAAATTTTCTTATTTTCACAAGAATTCATTTTGATACTGTTGCTTTTGCATGGATCATCTTAATAATAATAATAATAATAATAATATTTTGTGACCCCTTGGCTTGGTGCCTTGTGCAGGGGAACAGACTTCATCACCCCAAATCCAGTGCTGCTTAACGATAATTTCATCTGCATTTTCTCTCTTTGCCATTTTTCATAGTTCCTTTTCTTATTAAATGATGGAGAATGGTTTTTTTTGGTTTACAGTATTTTTTAAAACCCAATATGTTTCTAGCTCAGCATTCATTCCCATGCTCACTGGACTGGCATACAGTCAAGTCACAAGATTCAGATCTATATACAAGAATATATGAATCTGCCCTCATCAATAATAGAATTTGTAAAGTTGGAATTATTATTATTTCCCCAAGAGCTCCTTTATTTATTAACTTTTATATAAACTATTTGGTTTTTCAAATTAAAATTTTACAACCACAAACATACAACATAAAAACAAGATGTCAAAGAATCTCCTGGACTCCCCTCCTCCCCTTCGTGGGTCCTATTATTAACCATTTCCTCCTGCATCTTTTATAATATTCCAAATCCATTATATCAAAAATTCAGCATTAAACTACAAGTGTTATTCAGATCCTACTGACGACTTTAACTGTTTACAATGGTTTTTAAGGTAAATCATAAATTTTCCCCAAGAGCTCCTTGATGTCTTGAGGATAGCGGGCAATAAAGTTCACCTCCTGCAGTTCTATCTGCATGTATGACTTATAAGCAGTTGCAGTTCACCAGCAAAGCAACTCCGAGTCAACTCAGTGGTCAGACAAACAACAGAGCCTGAATGAGAGCAGCCTACCACCGAGCGCACGAAGAGTTCTACGTGAAGTCCGCAATAGCCTTTGCTTGTCAATCAAAGCGGTCCTTTTAAAGGCGCTGGGCTCTTTGGGCTGCAACACCATTCCCAACGCAGGGCTCTCCGATATTCCTTTTTCTAGACAGAAGCACTAAGGGATTACATCACCCCGCAAAAACAATGACCACTACTGGCCAGATCTGCCTGGATTTCGCCCTCTCCTCCTTTTAACCTGCCGCGACTCCAGCAGCTTACCGGCAAGCTTTGCTGACGCTCCAGGAGAGCTGGAGGAGACCAGACGAAAGCAGCCGGCCAGACGCCTGGTAGATGGGCATGACTCTTCCCCGCTTCCTCCGCGGGCTGATGGCAAGAGAGCAGGAATGGTTCCTTGGGCGGGTGGCAGCGTCCGCGAGAACGAGCGTGTCCCCGGAGCACCCAGCGGGAGGAGGGGATTGTTAGACGGGAGCTCCTATAGCAACGGAACCAGGGAGAGGAAGCGCGCCGGCGCGCGCGTAACAATGGCAAGCCGGCTCCCAGCCTCGCTGCGCAAAGCGGAGCGCAAGAGCCAAGCACATCCCACTCCCCAAATCACGTGGAAGGGGAGATGCAAGGGAGAGGAGCCCGAAGGGCAGAGGCAAGGCCACCAGTTTGCTAACACGTCTAGAATCAGAGCCTTGCAAGGGACCCTGCGAGCCGTCAAGTCCGACCGCCTGCAATGCAGGAATCTCAACTAAAAATAAAAAATAAAAAGGTAAAAGACCTATGAACAGTTAATGTTAACTATGAGGTTATGGTGCTCATCTCACTTTCAGGCCAAAGGAGCTGGCGTTTCTCCACAGACAGCTTTTCGGGTCATGTGGCCAGCATGACTAAACCGCTTCTGGCGCAACGGAACACGGAAACGCCGTTTACCTTCCCGCGGTACCTATTTATCTACTTGCACTGGCGTGCTTTTGAACTGCTAGGTTGGCAGGAGCTGGGACAGAGCAACAGGAGCTCACCCTGTCATGGGGATTTGAACTGCCAACCTTCCGATCGGCAAGCCCAAGAGGCTCAGTGGTTTGGACCACAGTGCCACCCGTGTCCCTTAGCAATCTCAGCTAAAACAACCCTGACAGATGGCCATCTGCTTAAAAACCTCCAAGACAAGCAAGCCCGCTCCCTTCCAAGGGAGTCGGTTCCACTGTCAAACAGCTCTTACCATCAGATCTCCCCACCCCATATTGAGTCAGAATCTCCTTTCTTGTACAGTGGTACCTCGGGTTAAGAACTTAATTCGTTCTGGAGGTCCGTTCTTAACCTGAAACTGTTCTTAACCTGAAGCACCACTTTAGCTAATGGGGCCTCCTCCTGCTGCTGCGCCGCTGCTGCACGATTTCTGTTCTCATCCTGAAGCAAAGTTCTTAACCTGAGGTAATATTTCTGGGTTAGCGGAGTCTGTTACCTGAAGTGTATGTAACTCCAAGTGTTTGGAGGGAGACCTTTGCTTCTGCTCCTCCTCCTATTAGTCATCTCAGTGTAGTGATTTGTTGATGTGTGTGTTCTTTACAGATTGTGTTAATTTACCTCTTTGATCTAGTTGAAAACTGACTGGCAGCACATGTAAATTACCTAAATAAATTAAATATATTTTTTTTTATAATAATTTTTATTGCATTTTTTCCAATTACAGATAAAGCAGAAAAAAAGAAGGAAAAAAAAAATAAGAAAAGAAAAAGGAAAAACCATAACATTTCAATAGCTTATTTCAACTTTCTATCGAACTTCCCCACATCTCCCGCACAATGCATTCCTGACAATAAATTTATCAGCAAATTATAACCTTGTTTCATGTATTTCTTTTGTACTTTCAATTGCAATTTAAGTTTAAATCCCTTATTATCCATTTACTCTAAAAGCAAAACATATTATCATTTTTAACCATTTAAACTTTGATTCTTTCAATAATATTATCCAATTTCATATAAATTTCACTTTCATTGCTGGGGCTAATATTCCAAATCATGCGGCACCTTATAATTCATATAACTTATAAAATTTTTGCAAATAGTCCTTAAATTTCTTCCAGTCCTCCTCCATCACTTCTTCTCCCAGATCTCGGACCAAAAGGTGTTAAAGAAGGACAGAACGTTTTTTATGTATGCAACCCCAGCAGCAAGAATTCTTATTGCCAAATACTGGAAGACTCAAGATTTGCCCACACTGGAAGAGTGGCAAACGCAATTGATTGACTATATGGAGTTGGCCGAGATGACTGCCAGAATCCGAGACCTAAATAAACCAATGTAGGCATCTTGTGATATCAACAGACTGTTGTACACTGCCATGCTCAGCCATCAATATTACCTGATGGCCCATATTACAGTTGTCAGGTGTCCTGTTTCTCCAGGACAACATCCTCTTTTTCAGGAGTAAAATGTGAGACAAATTGCATTTATTTGCTTTGAATGGTTGTCAGAGGGGTCCTCTTTTTTTGCTCTTCAAAATATGGCAACCCTACCATGGTATTTCTTCTCCCTCGCCCCCCAAGACGTGTGTTGGGAAGGTTCAGGTTCAGTATTTTAAGAATGACGAAGACAGAGCAATGTTAGTTAATGTGGACCATTGGTATCAATTCTGTATTGGCTGACCAGTTCAACAGTGGTGGAAAGGCACCAGACTTCAGTACAACTCATTTGCTGATGTGACATGTTTGTCTTCCTTGTGTGCCAATAATGCATTGCAGGCCCTTACTTAAGCTTTTAGGACAGATGCGAAACAATAGCCTCTCAAGTGAGTAGTCCAGCTCGTCTTTCTTATGTTCGAGGCTAGTGAATTATTCATCCATACACCATCGTGCATAAGCAGCAAACCAAAAGGAGTGCTCTCCGCCCTCCACCTCACTGGTTAAAAATGATGTGTACAGTAGTACCTCTGGTTAAGTACTTAATTCGTTCCGGAGGTCCGTTCTTAACCTGAAACTGTTCTTAACCTGAAGCACCACTTTAGCTAATGGGGCCTCCTGCTGCTGCCGCGCTGCCGGAGCATCATTTCTGTTCTCATCCTGAAGCAAAGTTCTTAACCCGAGGTACTATTTCTGGGTTAGTGGAGTCTGTAACCTGAAGCATATGTAACCTGAAGCGTATGTAACCTGAAGCGTATGTAACGCGAGGTACCACTGTACTAAATAGGAAGACAACTGGGAATGAAAATTGAGTCTGGCACAACTGTATTCCTGCCATTCTTGAGTTCTTGTTGTGCATCTTGTGAAACTATCAAGGAATAGATCAGGAAATGCAAAGAAACATGCAAAGAAACAGGAGAAACGGCATGTCTGCTACAAGTCTTGTTGGGGATGCTGTTGGCACTGTGGTCTAAACCACTGAGCCTCTTGGGCTTGCCGATCAGAAGGTCGGCAGTTTGAATCCGCACGGCAGGGTGAGCTTCCATTGCTGTGTCCCAGCTCCTGCCAACCTAGCAGTTCGAAAGCACACCAGTGCAAGTAGATAAATAGGTACCACTGCGGCGGGATGGTAAACGGCGTTTCTGTGCGTTCTGGTTTCCGGCATGGTGTTTCATTGTGCCAGAAGCGGTTTAGTCATGCTCAGTGCCTTCTGAGCCTGAAACTATACTGTATGTTCCTTTCCCTGCCTCAAGGTCCAAAAATATGCCTTGTATGGAGAGCAGAGGAAGGCTGTGAAAGCATCCAAGGGCCAAGGGAAGCATGTTTTCTCACTAGTGATTGGAACTGCAAGTCCCAGAGAATCTCCAGAGGGCATTTCCCTGAAAATACATACAGAATCAGCCATGGGAAAAGGAAAGGGGCAAAAAATAGGCATCACTATGATTCTTAATTACTGGCCAGCTACTGAAGGACCTCTCTCAATGTACTTGCAGCAGGTAAGCATTAAAGGATAGTTTTTAGTGCTTTGTCTTGCTCTTGAAAGCTTAATTAAATTGCTCACAGGTGCCTAGCAGACCTTTCATATCAATAACAGTACCTGGGATCAGAGAATTGGCAGCCCCAGCCTCTAATCTGATCATATTATTCATGAATGATTTAAGAAAACAATAAAGTTAATGGCTTGTTAAAGAGCTTTAGTTAAGCGAGATAGGGATAGTTTGGTATTATTTTAGCTCTCTTTTCCCCCCCACCTCTGTTGCCAGGTTAATATTTGGATTTTACCTGTCCTGAGCTTCAGTGTCACAGAGCAGAGGACCCCTGGTTTGCCCGTGGTACTTGAGTCCATAGAAAAGGGCATGGGGAAAACAAAAATTTGCTGTTGGAGACAGGAATCCCTGCTCAAATTTGGCTTTTCTTCATAAGTATGTATGAAAGATTTTTTTAAAAAAAGGATTAAAAGCAGAAGCAACTTGCTGGATGTGTCAGAGCCACTGAGCTAAGTCATTGTTGTAGTGTTTGCAAATGATCCACAAAGACTGGATTAGAAGGAACCAACTTTACTTAGTGGTATGCTGCTGCCAAGCTATATACAAAACGGAAACCAGTAAGCACTTCTTGGCTTCCTTTTCCCGCAGGTGTCACGCGGAACTGATTCCACCTGCGTAACCATTTCTATATCACTTTTGTTCCTGATCGCATTACAACTGTTGCTTAGCAGAAGGGGTGAGGCAGCAGGGAGGTTGGTGCAGTGCAAACACCCTGGCAGGAGTGCCAAATTATGTTCTTAATCTCGTGCACCACCCTGGAATCTTTGGGTGGAAAACGCTCAGTAAATGTTTGTTTATAGAAAGTGGCTTTGTACAAGGGCCCTATACCCTTTGCCTTGCATCTTTCTACCCCATTCATTTCAGTGGAAAAGAAACACCATACAAAATGGTAGCAGTTGTGTGTGGCGGGGTGTGTGTAAAAGAATCAATTGTGATTAATTTGTGGACTGAAAGCAACAACAGCAGTGAATACTTATTGCTTTCGCTGCATTGATTTTCAGTCCAGACATGGGACGAATAAGCAAGCATCAGAATTTTCCACGCCTGTTTCTGCTGGAATTGTCCAGTATCCTTCTTTTCTTTTCTTTCTTATTTCTTATTGAGTTTTATTAATACAAAAAGAGAAAAAGAAAAAGTACATTCTACCAAAACAAAAGCACACAAAAATACACTATTATTTACACAAATGTAAATCCATCCCCCCCATTTCCCTCCCACCACCACAGCCCTCGACTTCCCTCCACCACACCACGACTTCCTTATTTTTAAAATTCTATATGACCCTTGCACTCTTTAGATTTTGAATTTTCATTTCTTTATAACATTCCTAGATAATATTGTTCTTTCTGCTTTACTCCTTTAATATAAACATATCAACATACATATTCCTTTTGGAACAATATTTGTCCATATATTCTTCAAAGCATTGCCATTCTAGTCTAACTTTTTGATTTGTCTGCATTCTGATATAGGCAGTCAGCTCTGCCATTTCTATGAACTCACTTAGTTTACACAGCCAATCGTCTTTTAAAGGTATTGCCTCACTCTTCCATTTGCTGGCAAAAGGTATCCTGGCAGCTGCTGTGGCATATAAGAAAATC